AACATTTAACGAACATTTAATTTCAATGTTTATTCAACTTTCGAACTAAACATTTAACGAACATTTAATTTCAATGTTTATTCAACTTTCCTGATGAACATTTAAGAATATTTAATTTAAATGTTTACTCAGCTTTCCTGATAAACATTTAACGAATATTTAATTTAAATGTTTACTCAACTTTCCTGATAAACATTTATTCATGGCGGACATTTTAATATTTATGCAACCTTTACTCAAGTTTGCAATTAAACATTCCGAACATTGCAGTTAAAGCTTTAATAAATGTTTACTAAACTTTCAGTGCTGTGTGGGAAGGGGGAGAGGATTAAAATTTTAGTGAAATATGAACAGTGGATTTTTTAAAAAATCATAACTACTGTATAACAGAGTGAAAAAAAATTTGATCGTTTTTTAATTAATTTATTTACATTAATTAATATTTCGAAAACAAACAAAAATTTATTTAATTTGTTTATTAAAAGCATATATTTAAAACTTCATTTTAAGGGGTAAAAAAAAGAAATAAAAATTGTCCTTTATTAAAAAAAAGTGAAAAATATTTTTGATTTTCAAAAAAAGGGGTAAATTTTGAATATTTAAAAAAAAAATTTTGCACCATTCGAAAGAGTAGGAAAAAATCTTTCGAAATCATATAGGTCAACATTTTTTTTCATCCCTTTTATACAATAGTTATGATTTTTCAAAAAATGCAATGCTCACATTTTGGCAATTGGATCACTTCAGGAATTTCGTCCCAAATATAAAATGAACTGAGAAAAATGAATAGACTCCAGGTGAGATATTGTTCTGTAATGATAGTTAGAAATCGGCCGGTAAATATTTGGACAAATATTGAGAGTCGATAATGAAATGTCACTCATTATCATAATCTTCTCTTCTTTACCCATAAAATGTCAAGTACAGCAGTATACTGTCAGTGAAAAAGTGATTTTTCGGAAAATTCTTTCCTTTTCCTCGATCGAGGTATTTTTATACTTTCTTTTTCTGTATATATCAAGAATTATGCATTTTCTACCGTTTTTTCAATGTTTCAATAGTTTTCATATTTTTTTAGCAGCTTTTTAGACACGAGAAATAGAATAGCAAGTTTGCTGCAAATTTGCAGTGCAAGGTTTGAAAGTTTGTAAGGTAAGTTTGCAGTAAACTTGTGGCAAATATTTATAACTATTTTGTATTTAATTAAAAAATTTATAAATATTTTTACTTACCTTATCTCGATTTTTAATGTTTTTAAGCCACTAACATCGGGGCTAATAAATTGTACTCAATTTTAAAAATGTTCCATAACAAATATTTTCAAATGTATAAAGTCACTGAGAATAAATTAAAAAAATTTTCTTTCAAACAATTGTTTCGTTATTTCTCCTTTTCTATTCTGTGATTTAATTATTTATATTCAAAAGAAATTGACAAAATAATTTTCCATAAAACTATTAAATATTTATTTTACTAAAACTTGCATTTTAAAATTTCTAAAAATTTTCAGCGCAATTTTGCTACAAATTGTTCTTGAAACTTTTCGACAATTTTGCTTAGCATGTTTGCAGAAAGTTTTTGCTGCAAACTTGCCAAGAGAGGACATTTAAATATTTGCCACAAGTTTGCTGCAAACTTACCTTACAAACTTTCAAACCTTGCACTGCAAACTTGCTGCAAGTTTCCGTGCTATTTGGGTCATTTAATACCTGATTTTTTTGTTATTTGGTAAGCCTATGTAAGGAATTGACAGCAGCAAACTTAAATCCCTTTTAATTCCGTTTTCGTAAAGCGTGCAATATGAAATAGAATATATTTTATTGAATTAAATACGATTTATTAATAATTTTTTTTTGTGATAAAAATCTGAGTTATTTTTTTATTCATAATCTACATTATTCCCATAAAAAAGTGAATGGGACTATTTTATATTCAACGCATAACCTAAAAAAATGTTGAGACAATATATGTTCAATTTTTGTTGCCTCACGTTTAAATTTATTCAACTTTTTACCAATATCATATTCACTGTAAATTATTTGTTATTTTCACATTGAACAGAAAAAACATAACAAATTTATTAACTATTAAATAAAATCATGAGCGAATTATTTTCGATGCACAAAAATATGTCCAATTGTCATTATAATAGAAAACACTCTTAGCGACTTTTACGTAATGCCCAGGTGCAAATGATTCGTAAGGAATTCGTTTGGAATTCGTTCGGAATTCGTCCAGATTTCCGAAAGAATTCGTTTAGATTTCGTCCAGATTTCCTGTCGAATTCTGGAAAACGCCGTGTGGCGATTTGAAACAGAATTCGTCCATAATTTAATAGGAATTCGTGCGACTTTTTTCAGAAAAATGAATACAAAAAAAATTTTGACCAAATTTTCGACCGAAATTCGTATGGTATTCGTGCGAATTACTAACAAATATTTTAAAAACAGTTCGTGTGGATTCCAATAAGAATTTGATAGGAATTCAGAACGGAATTTTGGCTGATAAATATTTTTAAAAAAATATTCGCCCACTTTTCCGAACGAATAGTGCGCGGTATTCGTGCGAATTACTAAGGAATTCTTTAAATAAACTTCGTGTAGATTCCTATAAGAAATTGATGGGAATTCCGAACGGAATTTTGGCTGAATAATTTGTTTAAAAAAATATCCGCCCACTTTTCCGACCGAATAGTATGCAGTATTCGTGCGAATTACTAAGGAATTCTTTAAATAAACTTCGTGTGGATTCCTATGAGAAATTGATGGGAATTCCGAACGGAATTTTGGATGAAAAATTTTTTTAAAATATATTCGCCTACTTTTCCGACCGAATATTGCGCGGTATTCGTGCGAATTACTAAGGAATTCTTTATATAAACTTCGTGTCGATTCCTATAAGAAATTGATAGGAATTCCGAACGGAATTTTGGATGAAAAATTTGTTTAAAAAAATATCCGCCCACTTTTCCGACCGAATAGTGCGCGGTATTCGTGCGAATTACTAAGGAATTCTTTATATAAACTTTGTGTGGATTGCTGTAAGAAATTGATGAGCATTCCGAACGGAATTTAGGCTGAAAAATATTTTTAAAAAAATATTCGCCCACTTTTCCGAACGAATACCGCGCGGTATTCGGTCGGAAAAGGGGGCGAATATTTAAAGAAAAAATTTTTTTAGCCAAAATTCCTTGCGGATTTCTTATCAATTTCTTATAGGAATCCACACGAAGTTTATTTAAAGAATTTGTTAGTAATTCGTACGATACCGCGCACTATTCGGTCGGAAAAGTGGGCGAATATTTTTTTAAAAAATTTTTTCATCCAAATTTCCGTTCCGAATTTCTATCAATTTCTTATAGGAATCCGCACGAACTGTTGTTAAAATATTCGTTAGCAATTCGCACGAATACCGTACGAAATTCGGTCGGAAATTTAAGAGAAAATTTTTTTGTATTCGTTTTTCTTATCAAAGTCGCACGAATTCCGATTAAATTATGGACGAATTCTGTTTCAAATCGCCACACGGCGTTTTCCAGAATTCGACAGGAAATCTGAACGAATTCTAAACGAATTCTTAAGGAAATTTGGACGAATTCCGGACGAATTCCACACGTCATTCGTGAGGATCATTTTCACCTGGGTGTAAAACTAATTTCAGAATTAAGTTGAATTCATTTCGTTGGTCATCTATCTTATTTTGATGATAATTTTTTATAATTTTATAATTTTTTTCTATTCCAGACTTCTTGCCGGGATGTCGAAGAATTTAAAAAAATCACAAAATTTATTTAAACTTATAAAATAATACATTTTTTTGACCAATATTTCAATTTAACAAATAAAATATAAGATTTGCTTCTGATAAAAGAATTATTGGACCTGGCCTTAAGGAAAGGAAAAAAAGTGCTGCCATCTACCTTCTAAAAAGCGCGGCTATAATGATTTTATCGACAAATGTTCATAATAAACTGTAATACATTGAAATTAATAAAAACATTAAATTTTTATAATTATTTAACAATAATCATCATAAAAACATAAATCTTATTGTTTTAATCATTTAACTATATATTTAATCATTTTTTATATGTTTGAGACAAAATTTCAATCTTAACCTCGTGTTCCACGAATGCTCCGATAATTTCGTGGAGCATTTGAATCATGCAATCTGCCAGAGATTATAAAAAAGAGAATTATGCTACATATACGATTCATTTTAATGACTTTTAAACCTGAAAAAATCAAGTATTTTATTTTCTATTTATTTTTCTTTATTTCCTTTCTTATTTTATAAGCAAATTAATAAGGAAAGACGTATAATTTACGACTGAATGATGGATTATTTGTCTAGTTACTTTTTATCTTAAATTACAAAAGCAAATGAAGACTTTTGAAGACTATATTCGGTGTAATATAAACCTCGACATTTTATACTATTTATGATATGTATATAATTTAGCAATATTTGATTAAGAATTTAATATACTTTCCATAATTTATTAGCAATATTTGTTATTTTATCATTATTCTCACTTATTCTTATTATTTCTTATTTCATTTATTCTCATTTAACCTCAATGGGTTCTTTGACATTGAAAAGTACACAGAAATTTGTACTTCCGGCACTGCCGTTAGTTAAATATATCTCAGTTGCTTATTTTTTTTGAGCCTCTTTAAATAAATTTGAGGTTTTTCTATAAATATATAGTAACAAAAATTAAAATTCATTTATACTTTCTATAATAATTTTATTTACTTGAAAATAATCGTGACTTGTTATAAATCACTACAGAAAATTTCTTTTAATTCTTTTCTACAATTTTATGATTTAAAGAAACTATTATTTTATAATGAAATACTCCAACAATGCAATTACTCTGTGTATCGGTTACAAAAATATTTTATATCAAGCATTCACTACACAGAAATAATTTTTTAAATACTTAGATATTACAAATTATATACGCGTAAATTAATTAATATAAGTAAGTTTTGATATACCTAATTGATTTTATATGTTGTTTAAATAATTAATAATATGAAAATAGATTCTAAAGAGGATTACATTATTATGGAAATCTTTTAAAATAGATTATTTTTTGTATATGAAACTTTTTTTTACAACCGATATATAGAGTGATTAGTAACAAGTCGAAACTAAAAAATATAATATCATCATACTAAATAATGAAAAATTAATTTCATATTATGTAATGCTCTAAACAATTTGTTCACTAGGTATTATAGATTTAAAAAACCTATGTCCATTTCCAAAGTCGTATTTTATAACAGCAGTCAAAGTTTCTTTTTATTCTCGTACAGACATCAATACAGTAAAATATGACATTGATGTTTGAAGAACCTTTAATCAATTACATAATAATTAACAATTTTAATGAAATCACTTATTGTTAGTAATTTATTTTAACTTGTAAATTCTGCATAATTATTTTTAATTTTAGTGTATAATCAGGGAACACAAATTACTGGAAACTTTTTTTATTTTCAATTTACTATTACTTTGCAATTTTTTCCGCGGGTTCATGCACATATTTCTATTTTTTATTTTTACATTTATTTGAAAGAAATTCATACCTTTGTAAAAAACTGTAATGAAAGTATGAATATTTTTCCAACAACAAATGTAGTTGGTTCCGATCCTTTTCTCATTATTATGATTAACAATTGTTTTGTTTCAGTTGTCAGATGGTACCAATCTGCATTGTATCTAATAAAATCAATGTTTAGTTATAATAATAATTTATTTTTCATAGCAGAGCAATATGAAAATAATTGTTAATTATTAAAACTATATAGTTCATTACACTAAAGTATTTCTTTACAGGGTAATTCAATAGAAAAAGGAAAGGCATGATTTAAAATTATTTAGTTATGTAAAAATTTAATTATTTTAAAATATAAAATCTGTAATTTTCAAATTGTTTTAAGGGCAATAATGTATGTAAAATGTATGTATCTATCTAAAAATTGATTTGACTTTGACCTACTCTTAAGTATGGGTAAATTATTATGATCTTAACGAATATTTAAATATTTTCTTCAAGACTTCTAATTCTAAGGAAGAAAATAGAATGAAATTATTAATGAAGGAGTAAGAAAAGGATTTGTGTTTAATAAGTATTCCCAAAGCTTAAAACTTGTATAAAGCTAAAAAACTTGTAAAGAATAAATTAATGTTTTGAGTTTGTTAACTATTCCTGCAATTTAAGAAATTTTAAAATGATTAAAAATAAGTTATACATGGAGCTTGAAAGACTAAGGCTGTTATCCAGTAAATGTTGAGTTGGTAGAGTTAAACAGAAAATATTGAACACTTGAAATATTGCATAAAATCCAAACTGTATTGCACCTCCAGAATGCCTCAAACTCATGACACACTAAATCACAAGAAATGATTAGATACTAACCTGGATAAATAAACCACTAAATATATATTTTGCTAATAAACTATTAAAATTATATCTCCCTAAGTATATTTTATAAGTAAATTCAATGTATGATACTTACTTGGACCGCTGTAACGCTTAATAAAATTGCACTGAACCCAAAGAAAAAAAGAAAGGGAGTTGAATAAACAGTCTGGATATCATTGATAAATCTCGAAAAGTAAAATATTTTAATTAATATAACTCAAGTAGTTCCATATACTTTTTGATAAAATGTATATGTAATTTGATATGTATTTTCTGGATACTGAGTACACGGAAAATTTGTGCTGGTAATTCAGAATATCAGTGAAGAAATTTTTCTCCTATAAGTGTGTTGTTCACTCTACTAAGGAAAATGTTCCAAAATGTACAATAAAATGTGTGTATGTATAAATTTTATATTTTTTATAATTCCACTGTTAGGACACATTTTGGAAGATTTTCTTGATAAAATATTCTCAACACAAATTCTTTCCATGTACGATAGTACATTTTGTTATACAAACAATAGAATTCTTCGATGCATTGTCACACAAAGTTTAATTTCCTGATGAAGTTTTTTTCGATTACTAACTTTATTAATGGAGTCAGAATATTCTTTTATGGCAGTACTCAATTTATGTCTGTGAACAATAATTATTTTAGTAGACTTATTTAATACTAACGATTGAATGACAAATTTTTATGACTTAAGGGGAGTTAGTATTTAGAGTTTTCGAAAAATGATTTTACTATAATTAACAAATAAAACAATTAATTGAGTTTACCCTAAAATTTCAAATATGCCACAAGCATGCTCAAGAAATGTTATAAGAATTGTACCTCCATTTACAATTGCGTAACTACAAACGTAACCAACTAAATGACTATAAATTATTATAAAACCATAGTATTTTTGTACATTTAAACCGCATTCAATAATAAACATTAGCGGCTTGGGTGTATTATCATTTCTCATTATTATAATTATCGTAGAAATTGTATGTAATAAAGAGTAGAAAAGGGAATTCCAAAGAAACGCAACTGAAATATGATAATAAATATAAAAAATTAGAAATAAATATGAGAACAATAATGAAGTTATTTTTAATTATAAAAACTTAATGATTTGTATCAATTTGTTTTTAAAAGAAGTAAAGAATAGAGTAATAAAGAAGTATATACAAGTGTAAATGGTAGTGAATATTCTGCACTTTCTGCCATATTTTTGTAGAATATTAATTTCATTTTCATCTATTAATGTGTCCCAGTCAGTTTGCATTTTTCCAAAAGTATCGTTTATCTAAAAAGAAATTATAATAAGTTATAAAAATAATTCGCTTGGAATTATAAATTTTTACTACCAAAATAACAATCATGTAAACATATTTAACTCATTAACGCCAATGCTTAGACACATGGAAATATTTGCAATATCAAATTTGGAAACAGGACTGCGGTCCAATCAATGACTTTTGATATTAAAAATTATTTTAAAAATAATTTGTTTAAACAAATTGTTATAAACAAGTGCAAAAAATTGATGAATTTTAAAAATCTAACAACACCATTTGATTCTACGGGAAAAATTACTAAAGCAACATGTATGACTTTTTTCAAATTTTCACTCTGTTATAAATAATTTATAAACAAAAAATGCCCATCAGAGCCCATGATTTGACACACAGAAATATTTGCAATATCAAAATTGCAAACAGAACTGCTGTCCAAAAAATGACACGTTAAAAATTGTTTAAAAAATAATTTGTTTAAAGAAAAAAATAATTTTTTTTATTCATTAATTTTTTTCATTTGATTATAACAATTTGTTTAAACAAATTATTTTTTAAACAATTTTTAATGTCGAAAGTCATTGATTGGACCGTAGTCCTGTTTCCAAATTTGATATTGCAAATATTTCCATGTGTCTAAGCATGGGCGCTAATGGATTAAAGGCGATTGCAAACTTATGCAAACTTATGCAACAAATGTATCGGGGATATTCTTGTCTTTGTTGTAAAATAGGTTACCTCCTTTAGTACTTTCTGTTAATTCCATTTATATAATTAATATTTGTCTGCTTATAACTCGGCTTAAACAAACAAAGTCAAAAGAAAGAGAGTTTTCTCTTACATAATAGTTATTTTCGTATCAAGGGCGCAAAATAGGTGATTGTGGCGAAGGCGAGATTAGAGAAACCAAGGGGACCCGAAGCGCCCGAGGCGAAGCCGAGGGTGCGTAGGGTCGCCGAGGTTTCTTCATAATCTCGCCTGAGACACTATCACCTTTTGCGCCCGTGCTGCGAACAACATTTTTTGTCCTGTCTGCATGGAAAGTGTATTATTGAGTGTATGCAAGTCCGCTTGTTTCAATGTTCCATCAGGGTTGGGAAGATAATATACTTAAGGTAAATTACATGTAGTTGTTTACGTATACTATGTATGTTTATTATGTCACAACAAATGAAAACAATACATTTTTTAATGGTGCGGGCGCGAATGTATTTTGCGCCCGCTTCTATGACGTCAGCGGGCGCGAATGTACTTTGCGCCCGCATCTATGACGTCAGCGGGCGCGAATGTACTTTGCGCCCGCTCACCCCATCTCTGGGCGGGAATCACTTACTTTGCGACCGCCTCAAGTGCACGAAATAACACACTTTCCGTGCAGGTAGGACAAAAAAGTTATTTTGATTACATAAATATTTTGCTTCTTCTAAGAAAATGTTTTCTGGTACCTAAACAGAAAAACTATAAAATTAAATTTTCATTTTCTATTAGTTTTACATTAATTAATTTTTCTGCTTTTTATGGATAATCATTTATTTACATTAAAAAAAAATCAAATTCTTTGAGGAAGCAAAACAAAGAATTTAAACTGATTACTTGTTTCACTTTCAGATTGTTATTTGTATAAAGAATGGCAGCCATTAAAGAATAACATATTGGTGTAACGCAATGCAATGCAACGTCAATATCATTTAATTCTTTTATAAATCCTGCAATCTAATTTTATTTATGTCTATGAGTGATTAAAATTTAAAGGGCATTTTTTTCTGACTGTCAATTAATTTTAGTGATCACTTGTTTTGTCTAAATTTAAATTCCCAGCCGCCAGGAGTACTCTGAAAAAATTTGACAGTAGAATTACAGAATTACAGGCAGAATGTCAGCGCCCTTCTAGAAGTGAAAATATAAAAAGAGATAGAATTTTATCAATCTCTTTCAAATTGGTAGCCAAATTGCATATCCGAAATATAGCGTTCTATTTCTAAACTTCTATCGCTTTCTATTCACCCTTATATTTGGTGATATTTATTTCCTATTATCCCCTTTTTATTTAATTTGTATTTGCAGAAATATCTACACTGACGCTCAGTAGATTTTGCCCACCCTACGCCCTAGTAGAAATTTGTCGTGGATGCACTAGATTGACTCAAGTTACTTGACAGTTTTTCTCGCGGACGCTGATTCTAGCTGAACTGATAAATAACTGTGAAGTTACTGATCAGTGCTTTTTGAAAGAAATTCAAGTTGAACTTGATAATTCCACGACTCAAAGCTATCCAGTTTTTTTAATGGCACTGTCCAGTGCTGCTCGAAATTAAATTCATATCCTTGTCATGGCGGTGGCGCTTCAATAAGTCTAGTAACTGGACAGCTATGCTAGGATTTTGTGTATTGACATTTCGCTTGCTTGATTTAAAAAAATTACAACTTGTTTATAAAAATTAATAATAATAATATTAATATTCCTTTCTCAAAAAAAGACAGTGCATACAAAACACATGAAAATGTATCGAAATATCTCGGTGGTCGAAAAAATTGAATTTAAGAAAAAATGAACTTTGCTTTCCAGAGCATCTAAATCAATATTCATTTTATGAAAATCACTGTAAATTATTGTTCCACATATATATTTTTTGCATAACTTATCTTATTGCAATAAATATACACTTGCAAAATATTATTTGTTGTAAATGTTTGCCAGCTGTCATGAATCAGAAACGAACATAACCTATATTTAGTTGAAATCACTTGATTGGCCCAAGACAAAATAGCGCGCGCTTTTTTAAAATAATAAAATTTATTAAATTATAATAAAATAATTGCAATAAATTAAATTATTATGAAAATAATATTACCTTGAATAAAAAGTGTTTTTAGTTTTTAAAAAAAAATGATTAAACAATTATTATTATTTTCAGACAAATTTTACAAATATAGTAGAATATTATTTTTCTGTTTGAGTATATTATAATAATATAATAATAATAATAATAATAATAATAATAATAATAATAATAATAATAATAATAATAATAATATTATATTATATCAATAATTATTAATTTATTAAAATAATTTTATTTATAAAATTTTACATATAATTTTTGAGGATAATAAATAAAAAAAATTAGTAATTAGTTTTTTATAATTGTCTAATGTTTAAATTAAATTATAAGTAAATCATTTAAAATCAAATAAACATCTAAAATGTTTATTTGCCTAGAAAATAATAAAAATAATATGCACAAATTCATAATATTATTAGGTACAGTGAAATACGTCAAGCATTTATTCTAATATCACTGATCAGAACGGCCGAGTTGCGTAAAGCGTGCGTTTCTTTCGTTCCCGCCCAGCGGACCCGTGTTCGCTCCCCGGTAGCCCCAAGATTTTTTCGTTGAAACTGCGAGAAGTGTTTTAAGGTTTATGTTATGACATTCATATTAATATAAAAATTATAATTGTTTCAGTGTTGTTAACAGTTCAGGTCAAGATGTTGCTTCAATCGTTTTACTTATGTAAATTTTTTTTTTAAATCCAGTTTAATTGTGAATGAAAAATTACATTTTTATAACGAATTACTATATTTAGTGCAATATATTTTCTTATAATAATTTTTGTTGATAATTGGAATATTTTTTTTAATTACATAAAATAAACGTGTTTACTACATTAAATCTTATTATTAAATGAATTTCGAAATATTTAAAAGAATTAATTTGACTAGTTTTTCAAAAGTCCTATTGATAAATAATTATCAAGTTGGGCTGGATAATAACTTGATGAAAAAAGCGTGACATGACATTCGAGTTTTTAGCTAGCTGGTCAGTCAAGTAACTAGACAGACTCCAGCGCGACTAGGCAGTTCCTTTAAAATAGCTAGGACAAATTTCTACTAGGGACAGAATTTTGGGCGTTGCAAAAAGTTTTATATTTTTGTTTCTAATAAAGATAAAATAATAAACAATGACTTTTTTAAAGCTTATATTCTACTTTTATAATATCTAAAAATTTAATAAAAAATTTTTTTTTTCATTGCATTATTAATTAACAAAATTTTCCATTTTTTTTTTGTAAATTTTAAACTGATATATTTTTTTAACAAATCATCATATTTTATTTTCACATATATCATTGGAAAGATAATTTTATCACCTTTAAAACGCTTTTTTGAAAATTGTTATACGATAATTTTTAATAAAGATATAGTCAATTGTTTAAAAAAACAGCCCTTTTTTTAAATTAATAATAAGTCGAGAACTGTTGGTGTTTGAAAAAAATTGTTAAGGAAAAAAATGTTCCTTTTTATGTGTTGAATTAGAAAAAAAATAATTAGAAGTTTAAAAAAAAATTTTCTTTTTACTATTTTTTGCGCTTATATTTATATCCACTAGCGCACAGTTTTCCTAAAAGTATCAAATTGAGACCAAAAATTGCATCAAATCTTTGCAACGTTTTGATGCACATAAGTTATATCAAAAAGAGATCGTTTTGTGTATCATTTTTAGAAATGATACACGAAACGGTCTCATTTTTTGATGCAAAAAATTTAATCAATTTATATCAATCATAGCCGAATTGAATCGACTCAAAATTAAACGAATTTTTTCAGATATTTTCGTAATAGTACAATTGCGGTGACCATTTCACTATTTAATTTGAAAATGAAAATAACAGAAAATCAAAGACAATGTGCAATTCGATAATTAAATAATTAAATTTCAACAATGTTTTTAATAAAATAATTCATTATTTTCAACAATATTTTTAATAAAAAATTAATTTTTTCACAAATATTTTTGATCAAATAATAAATATTTTTCACGAATGTTTCAGTTAAAAATTAATATTTTTCACCTTTTCTTTGATAAAAAAATTAATTTTTTTCACCAATATTTTTGATTACAAAAAATATTTATTATTTGATCAAAAATATTTGTGAAAAAATTAATTTTTTATTAAAAATATTGTTGAAAATAATGAATTATTTTATTAAAAACATTGTTGAAAATAATTAATTTCTGATTTAAACCAATATTATTGATTACAATATTACTTTTTTTGATAACATAATACATCTTTTTGACCAATATTTCCGTTTAGCAAGTAAGAGTTTTGCTTTTTATGCAAACGATTCAGAAAAATTTAAAGAAAGAAAATAGATGAGTGCTGCCATCTACCTTCTAAAAAGCTCGGCTATATTGATTTTATCGACAAATTTTTTCTCATGCATTTTAGGTTATGTTTATAAGCTGTCACTTTTTAATTATCGAATTGCACATTGTCTTTGATTTTCTGTTATTTTCATTTTCAAATTAAATAGTGAACTGGTCTCCGCAATTGTACTATTACCAAAATATCTGAAAAAAATTCGTTTAATTTTGAGTCGATGCATCAAAAAATGAGACCGTTTCGTGTATCATTTCTAAAAATGATACACAAAACGATCTCTTTTTGATATAACTTATGTGCATCAAAACGTTGCAATAGAAAAAGATACAACCAAGTTTACTGTGCGTCCATGTAAAAAGTATCAACTTTGAAATGATATTTTAAAGCTTAGGAACGGTCAAAATCGATGGGATTGGTCTTATTTTGTAGATAATTATGTCAGAAACACTCTTGCAAAATTTAAAAAATATTTGACAAAAATGATTTTACGCGACTAATACCTTAATTGTAATTTTTTTTATATAATTCTAGCTGCTCTCTTCCATGAGTCCCCCCCCCTCTCTACTGATTTAATTTGAGTAGTCGAAAGTATTTGAAGTTTTTTTTTTTGTGTAATCATTCAATTTGGCACCGGATAATTTTTATTCTTCCTGATTTTCAACTCCAGTGTATCATTTTTTTTTTAATTCAATTTGTTTAATTAAAATTTTGTTGTTTAAAATTTTTTTAAATAAAGATTACATAATATCTAAATAAGATAAGCTTTTAGTTTAATAAGTTATTTTTGAAATTAACCATTAGGAATTGGCGATGATTTTTAACAAAACATTACTGCGGAACACCGTTAAGCAGTGAATATTTTGTATAATAATAAATAAGATTTAGAATATAAAATTAAAAAATTAACTGCAGTTCTCCAGTCATCTGTATATTTAATTACGACATAATAACGTTACATTATTATTAGCAATTTATATTATATATATATATATATATATATATATAGAAGCAGTTTCCGGTTACGTAGGCCCTAAATTGAAATAATTTCTCTCTTCATTATTGTACATCATAATTTGAGATATTACACTTTCTTTCTATATAATATACTTAAAACAAAATCAAATATACATATTATATTAAATTTCTATATAGTGAATACAATATTTGTAATACATAATAAGTATATAATTTTTTGCTATACAATATTTTTGCGTTCCCTATCAGAAAAATTCAGGAACTTGCTTTTTAATAAAGAAATTACATATACATATAGACAGAGCGTATATATTATTATGAAAAGAAAAGAAAAACATTAAGAAGAAAAGGAAAATTTTAATAAGTAATATCAATGACATTATGTATTTATTTTATGTAATTTCGTTTTCTTTATTATTCCTATAATTATATAGTTTTAATTACAACGTGGTATACTTACGATGCTAAAACCCTATTAATCCGAACCTAACACCTTTTAAAATTTAAAAGGTCGATTCAGTATATATATATATAGAATCCGGTGCTTTCATAAATAAATTATTAGTTGTTATTATTACCTTCAATCTTCTTATCGATAAAGGATTCAATTTATTCGTTCTTAAAGGGATCAGTAGCAAAATTCTGATTATTTCTTTATTTTTTTTTTTTTTTTTGGGAAATTTAACTATTTAACAAACAACTATATAATAATATTTAAAAAAGAAAAAAAATTATTAAAATTAAAAATCTATTTAAAATTAGCTAATATTCTCATTTCTACAATTATGTATAAATGATAATTAATTTATCATTTTTCTTTCACATAATATTTATCGTTTTCATTTTCTGATCGTAATATATAATATATTTGAGTTGCTATAATAATAATTATTATTATTTATAATTTTATTTTTCTTGATTTATAATCATGTAATGTCTATAATAGGAATTATGTTATGATACATTGACGATTTATAATTCATCATATATTTACACGTACAATATTATATACGTTTAGATGCGTATATTTATGTACATCTAAAGATGGACTTTTTTTTCCTTTTTAAAAATTATCTATCCAAGATAGATATGTAAATAAAAGTTTGTTTTTTTTTTAATTTTCATTTTAAAATTAATGGAAAATATATTTTTTCATCTATTTTAAAAATCGACAAATAAAATTATTTTTTTATATTGAAAAATTTCCATGTTAAACCTCAGAGATGGGACAATATATTATAAGAGAAACGTCACGCAATTAAGTATTTATATATAATTTTTATTATTTGTAAAAGACGTATCTGTATATTTTTACTGGGATCTCTATTATGTAAAAGTCACACTATTTTATTTATATAAAGTATTGCACTAATTATAATTTTGTTCACTTATATAAATGGGTAAACAAAATTATCAAGAAATGTAATTTTTTGTTTTTGTCAAAGTGCCAAATTTTTTAAAAATAATAATTATAATAATAATAATAATAATAAATAAAATATATAAAATAAATTAAAAATTTTTATAATAATTGTAATTAGTAATTAATTTAAATGAAAATTAAATTTTAAAATAAACAATTATAAAATTTACAAATAAATAAACAATATACATTTAATTAAGTTAAAAATTTTTAAATAAAATTAATTTTCCATTTTTAATTTTCACTAAAAAGAGGTATGGAAAATTATCATTTTTTTTTATATTGATGGAGGTCCTAACATAAACTCAAAACTGGAAAATGGTATTTAAAACAAAAATTTAATAAACATTTGAAACAATTTTTATTAAATTTTTGTTTGTGTTAAAAACGATTTTTTAGTTTTGAAGTTATATTATAGCCTCCATCCTCCCTAAGGAAATTTGATTAGAAAACTATTTTTATACTGTGAGAGAAATAACACACACTGCTCACACATTTTTTTTTTTTTTGTGATTAAAAATCGAAAAATAGGAAATTATTATATTTTGTGAAAGAAAATACAAAAAAAAAAAAAATTGTTTTTTTTTGAGATCCCTGAGATTGAGGTAAATTTTGTTTATTTTTTTTTTTATGAATAATTGAAAATAGTAAATTCCAAAGAGGGAAGTTAATATATTTTTGTTTTGTTTATCAAGAATTTTTTTTTTGACAATATTTTCAAATAGTTTTCGTTGAGAAGGGGAGGGTTTTTTTTTTTTTTTAGATAAAATTGCGAACTCCATGTTGGAGATTTGTAGTGTCAACCAAAGCAGCCGGTGCTGTTTGTGGATTGCCACCAGCAGGAGCTGGTCCTGGAGGTGGTGGCGGTGGTGGATATTGGTACATGGGTGGCTGTGCAACTGGCGGTGAATCCGGTGTGAATTTAGCTGTAAACAATATAATTAGATTAATAATATTCCACAATATAAGAAAAACAATTTTTATTTATTTTCATTTTTTTTAAAAACATATTTCGTTTTTAGAATTTAAAAAAAAAATTAAGTCTGAAAATAGTTTTTTGTTTTTAAATTCAGTATTTAACAAAGTGAAAATATTTTGAAATATTGTAAATAATAATTAATATTAAATTAATCAATTTTTTTTTATTATATAATTTAATATTTGTAATATTTAATGAAATTAATAAATCAGTTATTGAACAAACAAAAAAATAATGTTTAAACATTACTACAACATTTGGTCTTTAAATTTACTATATATTTTAATAATTTTATTATATTGGTTAATTAACTCCTTTGAGTAAATAATTTATTTTAATTCTTTTCTGGCACATAATAACAGATTGCTACAATTTGTTGATATATAAAAATTTTTTCACTAATTATGTTTTTGCCTCTTAATTAATAATTGTAAACAGAAAAATTTCTAATTATTTACACTCACATTGTTAAGAGAGGACTACAATTATTATTTATACAAGGAAGCACAGAGTAGAATTAACTATAATATAAGAACATTTAACAGAATTTTTTAAAATGAATTTTTAAATAAATATATATCCATTTATTTGTAAACAAAACAACACAGATAAAAAACATCTAAATAAAACATTGAAATAACATAATTTTACTTTTGAAAAGAAATAAGAAAAAAACAACTAAAGATGCTGAAATTAATAATAATAATAACAATATAAATAATAATATTGTCACGTGGAATTAATTTTTGTGACTTTGTTTATTTTATGAAAAAAAAACCGTGTTGTAGTTCCTGTATAGATTATAAAAAATATTTTGTATTTACGTAAAATTTTTTTTTGTTAACATTCTTTTGAGTATATGCGGCAAACTTCATGTAACACTGTTTCGAGTTCTGTTTTATTTATATTGTTTTGATTCACGAAACAATTTTTTTTTTTTTTTCGAATTCTCGTGTTATGTTATGTGTCTGTCTGACAATTTTAATGTTGTTGATGAGTCACTGTATGGAGAATAATATTTTAATATACATTTTTATTTATTTATTGTACAAGAAAATAAATAATACTGTGCGACAGCCGAAAAACACTTTTTATCTGACCTAATAGAGGTTGTAGGTAACAAAAAACTAAGAAGAATGGTATATTTAAAATTTCCCTAACCGTTTTCACGTATATTTATGACTAAAACCCTTGTAACTTTTTTAATTTTGCACCGATTTAAAAGTTTTTTTTTCATTTTGAAGCTAAAAAGCAGGACTTTTCAACCCACATAGAGTTTTTTTTTGTTAAAAATAATATTTACAAGAAAGTTTATTAATTGTCAGTTTTTCCTCAATTTTACAACTTTAACTGATGTTTACCACATTAATTATGTTTTAAACATTTTTTTTCTTCATGTACACGGAAAGAAAGTTTGTAGCAATATTTGATATTATGGTGTTACTTTTTAGTATATTTGGTTACAATTGCGGAACATTTTGGCATGATAACGATTTTCGATACTATTTTTAAGAATGATTGAGATTAAAATAAGAATATTTAATATAGTTGAAAAGAAAATTTGATATAATATTTACGAAATCTGAAATCTTTTTATTGAAACACAAAAATGTCAAATTTTAATAAGCTCTTTATCAATTTTTCTAACAAAATATTTCAAATTTCGTAATTATAATTGTATAAAATGATATAATTATTTCAGATTTTGATATATTTGATATGAAAATTGAAAAAGAAATATCAAAGTTAACGAGATTCGACGAAATTTGCCGAAGTTGAACGTTCGGAATTGCCCGATCCTCACCGAGTGGTAACGAAGACTGACGAAGCTCTTTAGACAAGCCCCTTTTTACTATTATCTTGATACAGACCTGAATTTCTTTTATATAATTAATTTCGAATATTTTACAATAAATCAGTAAAAAAAATTGTTCTTCAAAAAATAATAAAATATTTAATTATTTCCCAATAAATAATGATTTTTATTTATATTTTTAAACATGTTTTGATATAATTTCACCTTTCTCATAAGCGGTGAAAAATATGTCTGGTTAGTATATAAGAATGGTCACATCAGTTTTTCACATGAGCGTAAATTTGTATATGAAGCGTTATCCTGCGAATGTTATACGTACACGTATTATCGTTAGTATAGGTTAGGAATAAAAATAAGCCAATCGATGTAAAATAATGCGGTGTAAGCGTGTGTGTACATTTAAAAGTTCATATCCTCGTCTATCCTCGAGATGAGAAAGAGATAAAACTTTGGCGTAGAATCTGTTGGTGTTTCTGTTGTCATCTGTCACGACTGAACCACTTCGAATTTTTAGTATAGTTTTAACAAATTTCGAAATAATCTTTCCAAATTTTCATATAAATTTATCAATTTACGAAATAATAATTTCAATTTCTGGAATATATTTACTAAAAAGACTATTGGTAAAAATATACCGATTTTCGTTATCAAACCCAAATGTTCCGCGTTTGAAAAAGAGAATACTAAAATTTCCTATCAGATTTATCAAATATTGCTACTAAATTTCTTTCCGTGTAATATTCAACCGTACTTAATTGTGCGTCATACGAGCCCTATTTGAATAGTTTTCTTTAAAAATTGACTGATTTATTGCAGTTTTTCTATTTCAAAGACCAGTAGCAAATTTAAGTATTTGTGCGATTCCAGGTGAGATTTTGACTTTTTCGGAGTAGGTTAACCGATTGCAATGAAACTTTGGAATTTTGTTATATATAGTAAGACTAATCTTTAACGTAAATTTCAGCTTAAAATATTTGTTAGTTTACGAGATTTGAAATAATAACAAAAAATTTTAAACTGCTATATCTTCCATTCTAATAATCGGATTGAGGTCTACTTTTTTTAAAATGTCAAGAAAAATGAGAGGAATAAATCTCTTTCAGAACAATTTTTTATAATTTTACAACTAAAAAAATTATTAAATAATAATTGAATAAATTTCACGCGGCAATCTAAAATTATAAACAGACGACATTGCGCACGCAGCATTCTCCTGTAACCAACTAACGTGATTCGTGGACTAAATTGGCTACGTGAGAATGCTGCGTGCGCAATGTCGTCTGCACGTCAACTAGCAGAAACCGCAATTGTTTATACTCGTAAATTATTAAAATAAAATAAGTTAAACTTGCTTTTACAATTGGATTCCTTTGGAACATTAAATAAAACACTGGTAAGATCATTTTAGCGTTTAAGTGATTGAATTTTAGATTGTCGCATAAAATTTATTCAATTATTATTTTATAATTTTGTTAGTTGTAAAATTATAAAAAATTGTTCTGAAAGAGATTTATTCCTCTCATTTTTCTTGATATTTTAAAACAAAGTAGACCTTAATCTGATTATTAGAATGGAAGATATAGCAGTTTAAAATTTTTTGTTATTATTGAACATCTCGTAAAGTAACAAATATTTTAAGCTGAAATTTACGTTAAAGATTAGTCTTACTATACATATATAACAAAATTCCAAAGTTTCATTGCAATCGGTTAACCTACTCACCTGGAATCGGACATTTGTCAGTTTTTCTTAATTGTTTATTCTTAATTGTTTTATATGTAAAGTGCTTCTGAAGTTTTAAACATGTTTTTGTATCTTGGTCTTTCTAAGAATAAGTTTTTCTGTAAATATTAATTTTATTTTCCATATAAGAAAAACAATTAATAATTTCCTATTACACAATATCATAATCGACATATATGACATTTGTAAACAAACAGGGTTGGGAAACAAGAGCCCAAAATATATTCGTCCAAAGCGAATTTCAATCCTACCCAACTCTGCTTTGGACGAAGATATTTTGGGCTCTTGTTTTTCAACCCTGTTTGTTTACAAATGTCATATATGTCGATTATGATATTGTGTAATAGGAAATTATTAATTGCATTAATTGACAACGCATTAGAAATATTTATCAAGCGTACATTGCTTAAATTTTGTCTATTTATAATAAATAAATTATTGATAATTATTTGAACCATAAAAAAAATTAAAAATTTTCAAGTGTTGTGATTGTGAACTTAACTTAAATCTTATGTGATAAACATAAATAAAGGTTAGTGTATTTCATTTTATTTCGAAATAAATTTTTTCTTATTTAATTACTCGCAATTTATAAGTTTTCGCTTCTCTCTTTCATAATAAATTCATAATAAAAGTATTTTTAATATCTGAATATTCAGTGCAGTGAATAAATTAATTAACCCTCTGCCTGTTCAAACTTATCCCCACTTTAGCGCCAACGCGTGTAATGCCCATAGTCCCCACCAGAGTTCCGAATTGTCGTTTTTTGTCGATAACGGTCAACTGGACAGGCAGAGGGTTAATAAACTTGTCAATAAGAGCATGACAGCCATGACAGTTATACTTTGATACCAATTCAGGTATCAAAAAATGATCCCATATTCTGTATCATTTCTGGAAAATGATCCAAATATTTGGATCAATTTGATACCTTATATCGAATAAAAACGTTGCATGAGGATCTTAATTCTTGTATCAATTTGATACACACAAGAAAACTGTGATAGCTAGCCTCAAAAATGAAATTGCAATATATTTTACAAATATACTTTTTGTCAAGAATGTTTTTATTGCTAACTAAAATTCAACTTAAATTTTTAATATTAATTACTAAATTAAAAAAATATCCGAAAATTCCAATTATTATTAAATTAGAAGTGTTCATTCAGTACTTTTATTTTCATCTTCGAATCGTTCTCGTAACATTTAAGCGTCCAGCAATATTCGGAGATCATATTCACTGTACTTTTCCATTAGAAGCGTTTTTTATGGTTTATATACATATTTCTTGATGAAGTCTTTCACCTTGATCATCACTTACTTGCCCAAGGTTTAAGGGAAAGAAGACCAAATGCACGAAAAGAAATTTAGTAGCAATATTTGATAAA